AGATTCTCTGTTTGCTTGGCGACATTTTGGCGCTTACTTGGCAGTCATGACTTTTTCATTTCCTTTTAACTATATCAAACGACTGCAAACATATGGGCTAAAACCACACTCAAGAGACAAAATAAAGGTTTTATGTGCCAATTACAGCCCACTGCCACCAGAATTTAAGTGCCAGCTACCCTAAAATGTCATAAAAAGTGACATCTTTTCATTGTGTCTTAGTAACTGCTTCTAAATTTTTTTTAAAAAAATATAGTACGTGCAGTAAGCCATGAATGCATACTGATCTTCTATTTTAATCAAAGAAGAGAATCCTTAGAATTATAATTCGCAAAATAAGAAACGATCTTTTGTCGATGGTTTTCTAGAATGGAAACCAGTCACGTTTTAATAGCTTTTAGTGCATAATTATAATCAGGGTTATACAGGGTGAACATGCATCCCCTGGGCTAGCTAATTACAATAGAAATATAACGAAATGAGAGCACTTTCTTGATGACCTTAAGAACAGCTTAAAAGCCGTACTCTAGCTTTTGCAAATACCATATGGCCAATTAGGAAGATTTTCTCCAAGTCGCTAGAGCAGCTATGATCGATTCGTATGTTACTTCACGTATCATCCTTTAACTCTTAATTCCTTTCAAAGACTTCTTAGACTCTCGCAAAACTCTAAGCTTTTTTTTCTGTCTCGAGGGAGGGAGTTCTTGGTTCACCTGCCACCGTAACTGCCGGCAAAATTTTACAGCAATGTTTCTGTAATTCAAACCAAACGGACAATGCTCGCGTCGTGAAACAAGATACTGCCAAAATTGAAGCTTTCATAAGATCGGAAACGACCGGCTGGTACGACATCATACGCTGTGAGAAAGAATATTTCCCCAGAAACAGCTCACTATCTTTGGAATGGCAACGTCTTCATAGTATTAAAATTCGACTGCAATTATGTACTGATTAAAAAAAAACACTTTTGTTTTAGCTTAATGAATATTAAAACACTACTAAAATTTATGTTATTTTCAAGCAAAATTATCCGTGCAGTCAAGATTACCTATATCTTAACGAAACTTAAATGAGGTTGATTAATGTTTAACGCCTCCGCGGAACACGCAGAAAAAGACTCAAAGGAGTGATATCCGGCGAAGAAATTACTTTTGTTTCACAAAGGGACGCGTTATGTCAAAAAAAAGATTATTGTTCTCTCTTAATGTTTCTCTGCAGAAAACAGGTGCTCGAAAAGGCTGCTCACTTTTGTTGACAAAGCTGCAGGATAATTTATAAGCTATCTCTTTTTGTAAAGAATCGTTTAATTCTGTACAGGAGCGTTTTCAAGGATGGTCTTGATGTACATTTAAAAATTGAAACGTTTTTTGATTTGCAAGTTGGATATGCGGTAAAAAGTTAAAAATTTTCTCTCTCAATGACGTTCGCGCCCAAAATGTTCCCACGGACAGATGTTTTTAAAACTTACCATGAAGTAAGATAAAGATCGACTTTTGCCAAAAAGCCAAATAATGGGTGTTCAATCCTCAAAACTTGTTATATTTCTTCCTGAGCGCGCGCGCTTGATGTATGACGTGGCGTGACGCTGCGAAATGAATTTCGTTTGCAGAAAGGATGCCCAGTAACAATGGGCGAGAACAACCTTAATTAAACAAGGCCGGAGTTAAAGGTGATCATGTTTATTAGCTCTTTTCTCGAGATGTTTGCTAGACAACGAGCAGTCTCTCTTTTTATCTAAAACCCGCGGGGAAGAACGCAAAACACTGAGSGAACGAGCAAGCCGCGAGTAGCGAAGCCCATGCTTCCCCGCTCGCCCCAAGAGAGACTGCTCGCAGTCTAGATGTTAGCTTACGTGGGAGGCGTAAAACGAGTGAAATGGTAGGGAGCGCGGGGATGGAAGGGGGGTGGGGTGGCTCACGTTTTTGACCTCTCCTTCCCGTTTCGGGCCGTTTGCGTTTGCAGGGTAGGTTACGTGATGTTCGATCCCGGAGGGGCCGGATGTTCGATATGAGGACTAAAATGGAAAGTGCTCTGTATTTGACCAAGCCTTGCCAACATCTCTCGTGGCGCCTTGCTAAGAGGACATACTGTTGGTTTTAAGGAAAATAGTAGGAACAATTTTAAGCACAATTTTCGAACATCCAAGACTAACAGTACGATACGTTATGTGAAAAGGGTGGTTACCAAAGGAATGACGAGAGGAAAACTCCCGCAAAATCCCGTTAGCTACGCAGGCTAAGAATCGATAGGAAAACAGGAATATACAGGTCTACTAGACCTCATTCGATTGTCTGCGGTTAGCCGCATGTAGGATAGGCGAATGATTCAGCGCATTTACATGTAGCAGGGGCACCCAACGGATCGTTTCGGAAAATTATCATCCCCACCGATTTTCATAAGAGAATTGTCACTTTGAACATTCGTGATAAGTGAAATTAAATGTTGGTTGTTTTTGCATTGATAAAAATGTCGTTTGAGGTACCGAAAAAAGTTTTCGGGAAATGGACAAAAAAGCCCTGGTATATTCGAGAGCACTCTAGTTTCCCCAGAATGACCAAATAATCAGTAAAGTTCAGCTCTTTGGGTCTGTCTTAATCTGAGCGCTACAATATTTAGTAGGG